AACATCATAGACATTCCCACTGCCAAATAAAACACATATATGAGTATTACTCGTCACAAACCCATGGAATACACATCATACGCCCAAGTTCATACACATTCACCGCTACTACAGAGGCGACCCGTTTCACCCCTGACAGACCATCAATATAACACATTGTACCATTCCCTACCCTGCCCCCACCCACCCAATTTACAAATTTAATAAAAAACACCATCTAAGGTAAGGTCTTATATCCCTCAGAGAAATTCCCGCTCCCACCTCCTCCCATAAAGGTTCTCTATTACGGCACAACGTTTTTATAACGTAACAGCAATAACCCTCCTTTCACTCACTTACCTTTCCCCTCATTCCCCCATACATGTAGACATAATTACCATAATGTACCCACAGCCCTAATAATACTCTTTTATCCATACCCCCCACATAAAACTCAATGCCCGTAGAACAGAGAAGTATTGACCACTTATTCCTTATGCAACACCCTGCTCAAACCATACCCCTGACGCTCCCCAACTCCTCCACAAAATACACTACATGGAAATGCAGAATCTCCCCGCCACTATTCCACATACCCCCTCCCCTCAACCACCCGTCTAGCTCGTAAGACCACTCCCGATGGTAAAAATCCCATGGCAAAAAACCGATACATCACCTCACGTCCACCGGGGTTGTAACCTTAACCTACCAACCTTCTCCAATATACATCCCCAGTCATACATGGGGAAAATCCCCTCCACCGGAGCCACAACCCTTTCCGCCGACATCCTACACAGCCTACTTAATTTTCTTACCCAGATCCTAAACCATCACCACTGCCCACAAATGTTTTCACACTCCCTCAACTCCGTCCAGAAAACATGCGTTTCAATTTATTGTGTACCTTAACAACCCCCCCCCACTCAACCCTCCCTCATCACCTCACCTTTTAATGAAGATACATTTACACCCTCTCTTTAAGTGGGGGGAGGCTCATTAAACCAAACCCCCCTGGACGCAAGGTAACATTATTACATCCCTTTAAGCCAGTCACAACCTGAAACCCACAAAACATTTTAAAATACCCCTCTAAAGTATAGTTGCAATTGCCGTCCCCGTTAAAGGGAACACGGCAGACCACATGCAACCTTGCTATCACAATAAAAGTTAATTACATGGCACGCTGCACAAGGTCAATGATAGGCCGCCAATGCTCCCAATTGGTCCCAGTGATCCTTTCTACCAAGCCCTGGCCGAATTATTAACACGTGAACCTCAAGATCATCAGCATAGATTAGACCTCAAATTTTTAATGACATCACCCGCTTCTTTACGACTGCACTACCCCACTCGACCCTCTCCCCCCAAGTAATAACCCATAAACCTGGATTCTCCGAATATTTACCCTAGATACCAGTGCACATGCAAACGTTCTGTCGAACCACTCCATCTAAGGGTTTATGGACATCCCTCTCTAACCATACAGTGGATTTCATTCCAATACCCTATGAGAACAGGCCAAACGCCCTCAGTACCCCCCACAACCCTTCACAACGCCAAATGGCGCTCCACCATTCTATAAAGGGGGTCCTGTATGCACGCAAATAAAAGCTGTGACATAGGGACACCCCTTGTCTAAGACCTCTGCCATTACAATCCTCCCCTAATCTTCCATTATCTGTTACTCTCACCATTGCCCCTCTATATACGCCTCTACCCATCCTACTATTTCTTCCCCATAGCCCTGTTTCCTAAGTATAGCTCTCAAACGCCTCTCGCTACACCCTATCATAAGCTCTCTTGCCAGTCTAGTGCAACCAAAAACCCCCCCTTTCCCCCCTTTTTCTTCCACGAAATCCTTAAAAGACCAATGTCCCACCCCCATAGACCTACATGCAACCCAACGGGTTCCGATACAACCCTCCCTACAACACACTTGATCCTATTTCCTTAAATTTTTTGCAAAGTAACCTTATAATCTGCGCACCATAACAACGATATTGTTCTTAGTCCCTGAGCGCAACGCTGTTCCTTACCCTTCGGTACCAATACAACTTACAGCTGTTGCTGTCTTTCAACCCAACCTTCCCTTACCTTCATCAAGTTCAGTAACCTCACCAAAAAAACCTTTTATTAACTCCCAATGCTGTTGATAAAACTCCGCCGGCAGTCCATTTCGATTACGGTGCTTTTGCCCTTTTGCATGGCACCCAAAGCTCTCCATATTTTCCCCTCAGTTATGTCCCCCCAAAGCTTCCTATCACTTTGTCCTAACCTGTCATGGCGCACACTTCACACCCACCTCTCTAAATTCCCCTTAATCCCTACCCTTCTCCCGCCAATACTATTCGTACCATGATCCGCAAACAACCCCATCCCATCCGTAGTGTGGATAACCTGGACCCGCCTATACCCTCCACCGATCAAGGACCTCCAAACATGGAATAGTTGTTGCCTGCCGACGTTGTTTTTGTCTGCGCAAACACACACGAAGACGCCTATCTCCCCATAACACTCCTCCACCCCCGCCATTACTCTCACCGCTTGGAACCGTCGTCCTGAATTTCCCGCAACCGCTTCTTTAATGTATCATAATGTCGTCCATCGGATAGACCCCTCTACTGTCCCTTTTACATAACAACCCGTAACTGTTCCAAATAAAATTAATCAACCCAAATTTTAAAGAATTAATCCTTTCCCCTCCATACATAATATGCCGAAATCCGGTCTTAGCACACCATCCCAACCACGTCACCACGTCACTCCACACCTTGTACCTCCTCCGTTAATCTCTCCCACAGCTCCGTAAAAACCCCCCAAACCCCTCTCATCTTCCAAACAGACTCGTATTTAATTTCAATATCCCTAGAGTTACAAAGCTAGAGAATCCCACTCTACTTCTGCGACAACCGCCCTATGATCTCCCAAAAAAGCTGTTCAATAGTACGGACAGACGTGACAATACCTTATGGATAATACAACCTGGTCTAACCTAGCTGCATAAACTCGCCTCACGAAAGTATGCTCCACCTCCCATCGCCTCCCCCACCTACCACATCCCTCAACTGAAAGTCCACAAAAGACTTGTGTAGTACATGCTGTCAACATTTGCCCCGCCCCTCGTGGTTCCACATAAACATGCTTCTGATCAACAATTCCAGTCCCCACTACGATGGCCATTCAGGTAAACCACGGAAAGCAAAAACTAGATCATCACACACAAAATCCCTCTTGACTTTATATCATTTTTCAGCTGGTGCATCACACAACTTACAAAGGTTACCCTCTGCCCCCCATCCCACCACCCAATCCACAGCAACACCCTCCCCCCCACCCCCTTCACGTCTTTGCAACACAAGGGGCCGCCTCCTTTATCAATAAACCCATCAACCACCTTTCAACGTGCCGATGGCAGAGTCAACACCGATACCCGTCCACTCGAGCACTCTACCCTCCCTGAAATTATGTCTGTAGAAAGACTACGGCCACTCTGTATCGACGTAAGGCATACGAAAGCATTCCCTCGTCACCCACACCAGTACACAGTCATTCACATTCCAGTCTTGCACTAAGGCCTTTCCTAAAGCTTCCAACCCTTTCTCCTCTCACCTTCCCAGGGCCTCTTCCCCAGGGGTCAAGCATGTGGTTTGTGCCCCACATCACCCCCCCCCCCCCTCTTCGGATGGCCTCTTATCCTGGCTGTCACGAGGAATATACATCCTTCCTCCCAAACCTCTGCGCGGGCGTCAGGGACATCATCTGAGTCTGACGCAGCGCCCTTTCCTCTGTAACACTCTCTACCGCCATACTGTCTACCGGAGATTTCCTCACATTGAACATCAACCTCTACTGTGACCTGTCGCACAGAGCTCGTGTTGACTCCTCTCTGGGCCTTGCAGTTGTCCTCCTTCCTTCCTGTGCTGTCCCGCCACACTCTCCTTTCAACTCAGGCACATTTCACGGACCAAAGCCATTATCTCGCCGAAGAAGAGAAGGTAAAGTTTTCAATACTCGTCGAGGCTTCTCTCCAGCTCTTGCACTCCTGTGAATGAGCACTTAATCCCCCGTCACGGCAAAGTGGCCATTGTCGGCTCAGACAACTCGTTGCCCCGCCAACATGCACCACAAGAGACTCTTCTACAATTTCACTCCCACAGACGGCCATCTCCTCGCGTTTCACCTTTGGGAAATTCTCCTCTTACGACATCCACACCTGTAACTTGGATGCACCCCTGTTTGCGATGGCGCCCTCCACTGCCTCCCCAAACGTCGCCGCCATATGGTCATTACATCCACACAACTGCATGTCCGTCGCTGCAGCATACGCCACTTGAATTTGGGTCATAAACTCCGGCATCACGACGTTATGACGGGATCGGGTTGCCTCAGTGTCATTTTGAGGGGAATGTACCCTCCGGACGTCCCACGTACACAACCTGCCCGCCCACTTGCCTTGGGTTGCCAGATGCCGGGTACCATAAGCTGAAACACCTTCCGTAAGTCCTCCTCGTCAGCCTCGAAGGCGGACATTGCGCAACTTCACCCACGTATAGTGGCCGAGAAAACGTTATGAGTCGCACTCTTTGACAGCTGGGGAGTTACATCAATACTCACATGCTCAAATTTCGTCACTAACGACTCGTACACAGCCGTCGGAATTTAACTTGACGAATAGAACGATAGGCCCCATTCAGGGCCACACCATAAACCTCATCATCCTGCACTCCGTACGTTTCCCTGTGATTGCCGGCAGTATGTGTGTCCACCCCCCACGCCTTTATAGGGGTAAATCGCCCCCACGTAAGCAGTCTCAAACGCCGACAGTGTTCACTCTACGTCGCGGTTATCATGCGCCATATTGTTGCTATTGAGTAGCTCTCCTTGACAAACATGCAGAGGTGTGTGCTGTGTCACAATCCGCCACTTCACGCAGTCAGGCAGCTTAATATTGTTGTGTTTGGTGGTAGTTTGGTTAGATGCATGTAGTGAGGATTGCAGGTGAATTCGTAAAATTTGCGGTCTTATTTATGCAGTACGATTCTAACTGTGCCACGCATGGGAAAATCGCGTCTATTAGTGTGTGTTTGTACAGGATTTTCTGGTCGACGCTTTGGGTTCTGCTGTTGCGGAGTCTTATCATTTGAGCCTGTGCATGCGTTGCCATTGTTATTATATCTTACTGATTATATAGCTATAAGTATGGCACGTGGGTCAGCCCGTGTTCGCCATTAAATGTGGACCTAGCAATAGCCAACATACTTAGTGAGGTTTTTTTTAAATTCTTGTTAGGGGTTCGTGAGGCTTGTGTGATTGGATTAAAAGGGTATGTGGTAATGATACCCTGTAAGTAAAGGGTGGATGGCTTGGATTGCTAGATTGAAGCGGTTAGGGCAAATGTGTCTGTCATTAAAATGTGATGGTGATGGAGTGGGAAGGTGTGGTTGGGGGGGGTATGTGTTTGGTCCAGGTATCTCATAACAGATTGCAATGAGGATGTATACAGGAGTTTGAGTTGTATGAGTGTTGTTGAACTGTTTTTGAGGGTGCTTATGGCGTGGGATTCGAGAGCGGCGAAGGTCAATAATAGGTAGGTTGATTGTAGATGTTAGCCGGTGGGGGTTTTTGTGAGCGCCTTGCTAGAGTGGTAATTTTCGCCCCATGTATTGCAATGGGGAGTATATGGTAAATGGTTGAGTTTGGATGAGGGTTGCAACCTGTGTTCGGTGGTTCATTTCTTTTTTTTCCCCCCCCCCCCCCCCCCCAGATGTAATGTATTGTTTATCTGAACGTGTTCGATTTTTATCCGTTCGTGGTGTGGTTCTATGGGGGATAGACGTGGTCTGGTGATGGGGTTGTGTGGCGGGATATGTGGTGGGGAATGGATTAGTTCGGATTTTCATGTAGTATTTTTGTTGTGACGGTATTTCTGAGGAGAGTGTTAAGGTGAGTGGTTAATAGTGGTGATATATAGGTATAGTGAGGTAAGGAATTCTGTATTGAGTTAGCATTAGGTTCTCGACGAATGGTGGATGTTGTGAGGTAATAAAGATGTGTAATCAGAGCTTGGGTGTACATTATGGCAGTTTATTATGTATATATAGTTGTGTGTATTGCGGGGGGTGAAACAGGTCTAGTGAGGTGAAAGGGAGTGGTGTGTTAGTGGTAACGTTTATAAATACTGTATGTAGAAATAAGGAAATTTATGGGAGGAGGTGGTGCAGAGGGATTTTCGGTATGGATATAGGCATAATCGTACGTTATACAGTTTTGTTAGATCTTGTAATATACGAGGAAGGGTGTGGGTCGTGATTGGAAAGTGTTGCTGGGGGCAGGGAAGGTCATGCTGTTTTGTCCGTGTAACAGGGTGTGCGACCTCCCGGGATAGAATGGATGACAACAAATGTTTGCGTTTGTGTTGGTATGTCTGTGCTATGTTGTGAATGTGAATAATGTATGTAATCCACGTGTATGTGTCTCGCACCTGTGGATGCTTGGCCAGTTGCTTTGTTGTGTCATGTACCTTTGACTCGTTTCTTATAGTTAGAAATATCTTTAGCGACTTCTTATGGTCTTGCAATGTGTTGTTTGTGTTTTATGATGGTATGGGGTTGGATTGGGGGTTGGGGGTGGGTTTGTCCTTCTCGCTCTGTGATGTTGGCGTGTGGGCCGCCGGGGGGGGGGGCGGTGGTGGGGGCGGGGGGGGCAACGGGGGGGGGCGGGGGGTGGTGGCGGGGGGGGGGCGGCGGGCGGCGGGTGGAGGGGGCCGGGGTGGGGGGGCCCCCCCCAACACCCCTCCGGGGTGCGAGGGGGGGGGGGGGAGGGGGGGGGGGGGGGGGCGGGGGGGGGTGGGGGCGGGGGCGGGGGGAGTGGGGGGGGGGGGGGGGGGGGGGGGTGGGGGGGGCGGGGGGTGGGTGGCGGGGGCGGGGGGCGGGGGCCGGGGGGGCGGGTAGGGGGGGGTGGGGGTGGAGGGGGGGGCGGGGAGTGCGTGGGGGTCGGGGGGAGGGGGGGCGGGGGGGGGGGGGGGGGAGGGGGGTGGGGGGCGGGGGGGGGTGGGGGGGGCGGGGGGGGGTGGGGGGGGGGGGGGGGGGCGGGGCGCAGGGGGGGGGGGGGGGGTGGGGGGGGCGGGGCGGGGGGTGGGGGGGGGGGGGTCCCTGGGGGGGGGGGTGGGGGGGGGGGGGGGGGGGGTCCGAGGCGGGGGGGGGGGTGGGGGGGGGGGGGGGAGTGCGGTGGGGGGTGGGCGGGGGGGGGGGCGGGGGGGGGGGGTGGGGGGGGGAGGGCGGGGGGGGGGGGGGGGGGGGGGGGGGGGGGCGGGGGGTGGGGGGGGGGGCGTGGGGGCTGAGGAGGGCGGGGGCGGGGGGGGGGGGGCGTGGGGCGGGGGGGATGCAGAGGGTGGGGGGGGGGGGGGGGGGGGGGGGGGGGGGGGGGGGGGGGGGGGGGGGGGGCGCGGGGGGGGGGGGCGGGGGGGGGGGGGGGGGGGTGGGGGGTGGGGGGGGGGGGCGGGGGGGGGGGGGGCGGGGGGGGGGGCGGGGAGGGGGGGTCGATGGGGGGCGGGGGTGGTGGGGGTGGGGGGTGGGGGGGGGGGGGGGGGCCGGGCGGGGGGGGGGGGGGGGGGGGGGCGGTGTTTGGTTTTTTTGTGGGTGGGTTTTGTTTTTTGTGTTGTTTGTTTTGTTTGTTGTTTTTTTTTTTTTGGGTTTTTTGTTTTTTTTTATTTTGTTTTTTCTTTTTTTTTTTTTTGTTTTTTTTGTGTTTTTTTTTCTTTTTGTGTTTAGTTATTTTTTGTTTTTTTTTTTTATTTTTTTTTTTTTGTTTTTTTTTTTGTTTTTTTGTTGTTTATTTTTTTTTTGTAAGTGTTGTGTCCCCCGCCACTTGTAAGAGTTTGTGTGCCCGCCATTTGTCAGTGTTGTGTGCCCCGCCATTGTAAGTGTTGGTGTGCCCGCCACTTGTAAGTGTTGTTGTGCCCCGCCACTTGTTAAGTGTTGTGTGATGTGCCCGCCACTTTGTAAGTGTGTGTGCCCCCGCCACCTTGTATGTGTTGTTGTGCCCCGCCACTTGTAAGTGTTGGTGCCACGCCCACTTGTAAGTGTTGTGTGCCCCGCCACTTCTGTAAGTGTTGTGTGCCCCGCCACTTGTAAGTGTTGGTGCCCCGCCACTTGTAAGAGTTGTGTGCCCGCCACTGTAAGTGTTGTTGTGCCCCGCCACTTGTAAGGTTGTGCCCGCACTTGTAAGTGTTGTGTGCCCCGCTACTTGTAAGTGTTTGTGTCACCCGCCACTTGTAAGTGTTGTGTTGCCCTCCCACTTGTAAGTGTTGCTGTGCCCCGCCACTTGTAAGAGTTGTGTGCCCCCGCCACTTGTAAGTGTTGTGTGCCCCGCCACTTGTAAAGTGTTGTGTGCCCCGCCACTTGTAAGTGTTGTGTGCCCCACCACTTGTAAGTGTTGTGTTGCCCCGCCATTGTAAGTGTTGTGTGCCCCGCCACTTGTAAGTTTGTGTGCCCGCCACTTGGTAAGTGGTTGTTGTGCCCCGCACTTGTAAGTGTTGAGTGCCCCGCCAACTTGTAAGTTGTTTGTGTAGCCCTGCCACTGTGTAAAGTGTTGTGTGCCCCGCCACTTGTAAGTGTTGTGTCCCCGCCACTTGTAAGTGTTTGTGTGGCCACGCCACTTGTAAGTGTTGTGTGCCCCGCCACTGTAAGTGTTGTGTGCCCGCCACTTATAAGTGTTGTGTGCCCCGCCACTTTGTTAACGTGTTGTTGTGCCCCGACACACTTCGTAAGTGTTGTGTGCCCCGCCCACTTGTAAGTGTTGTGCTGCCCCGCCCTTGAAAGAGTTTGTGCCCCACCACTTGTAAGTGTAGTGTGCCCCCGACCACTTGTAAGTGTTGTGTGCCCCGCCACTTGTAAGTGTTGTGTGTCCCGCCACTTGTAAGTGTGTGAGCCCTCCACTTGTAAGTGTATGTGCCCCGCAACTGTAAGTGTATGTGCCCCGCCACTTGTAAGTGTTGTGTGCCCCGCCACTGTAAGTGTTGTGTGCCCCGCCACTGTAAGTGTTGTGTGCCCCGCACTTGTAAGTGTTGTGTGCTCCACCACTTGTAAGTGTTGTTGTGCTCCGCACTTGTAAGTGTTGTGTGCCCCACCACTTGTAAGTGTTGTAGTGCCCCGCCATTGTAAGTGTTGTGCCCGCCACTTGTAAGTGTTGTGTGCCCCGACACTTGTAAGTGTTGTGCCCCGCCACTTGTAAGTGTTGTGTTGCCCCGCCACTTGTAAAGTGTTATGTGCCCCGCCATTGTAAAGTGTTGTGTGCCCCGACACTTGTTAAGTGTTGTCCCCCGCCACTTGTAAGTGTTGTGTGCCCCGCCACTTGTACAGTGTTGTGTGCCCCGCACTTGTATAAGTGTTGTGTTGCCCCGACACTTGTAAGTGTTAGGCCCCGCCACTTGTATAGTGTTGTGTGCCCCGCCACTTGTAAGTGTTGTGCCCCGCCACTTGTAAGTGTTGTGTGCCCACGACACTTGTAAGTGTTGTGCCCCCGCCACTTGTAAGTGTTGTAGTGCCCCTCCACTTGTAAGTGTTATGTGCCCGCCATTGTAAGTGTTGTGTTGCCCCGACACTTGGTAAGTGTTATGATGCCCCGCCACTTGTAAGTGTTGTGTGCCCCACCACTTGTATGTGTTGTGTGCCCCGCCACTTGTAAGTGTTGTGTGCCCCGCCACTTGTAAGTGTTGGTGTGCCCTGCCCACTTTTAAGTGTTGTGTGCCCCCGACTTCGTAAGCTGTTGTGTGCCCCGCCACTTGTTAAGTGTTGTGTGCCCCGCCACTTGTAAGGTGTTGTGTGCCCCGCCATTGTAAGTGTTGTGTGCCCCGCCACTTGTAAGTGTTGTGTGCCCCGCCACTTGTAAGTGTTGTGTGCCCCGCCACTTGTAAGTGTTGTGTGCCCCGCCACTTGTAAGTGTTGTGTGCCCCCGCCACTTGTAAGTGTTGTGTGCCCCGCCCATGTAAGTGTTGTGTGCCCCGCCACTTTGTAAGTGTTGTGCCCCGCCACTTGTAAGTGTTGTGTGCCCGCTATTGTAAAGTGTTGGTGCCCGCCAACTTGTAAAGTGTGGTGTGCCCCGCCACTTGTAAGTGTTGTGTGTCCCCGCCACTTGTAAGTGTAGTGT